GTGCTGAAACCCGGGAGTCCCTGTAGGAGTGTAACAACAATCACAAAATTAATGGGGAGAAATAAAGTGCGTCTTAAAAGTCCCAATACTCCTCGAAAGCCCCATAAATTAACCCTGTAAAGAGGGCGCGCTCTTCGAAGGCGAGTCTATAAAAACCTGGCGCGATCTGGGAGGAGGACACCCTCCCCCTCCCCCTCCAAACCCTCGCCGGCGCGGCGAATGCGTCCAAACAAAGGTCTGTCCTGCAATCCACATCCTAATCCACGGTGCCCTCGTCGCTGTCGCGGGCCCCTCCGCCTCTGGTGGCCCACAGTGTACGCAGACAGCCCAGGGAGTCCCCAGATTTGGGGGAGGGAGGGCGTAATCAGATCAGAGGTCTTTATGAATATAGAGTCCCTCCTGATTGACACCAAACCCGCCGGCTGCGGTGGATCTGAGCACACAGGGAAGCAGAGACCGGTCTCCAAGTAAACAGGAAAGACTTCTTGTTGCAGATTTTCCAGAAAGAATTGTTTGAAAAACTATTCTCTCTCCGCAGCCCTCCTCAGCTGAGGATTGCATTTTAACTGAACCTGAGAAAATAATAATTGGAGATTTAAAGTAAAAACACATAAATAAATAAATAAATAAATAAATAAATAAATAAAACCAATGGGTTAAGTAGAAATCTGATTGTAAACACACAACTAATTTACCCTCTCTGGTTTTATCAGAGAAAACCAGGGAAATTTTACTGTAATCTTCACAGTTTATCACACTTGTCCTGCCCACCCCCTTCTCATCCTTGCCTTTCCATCTGAAGAGACAGAAACCAGCATTTATTTTGGGGGTGCATAACTCCATGGGCTTCTGTGCTAAGTATTTTATGTAATTGTTGATTTTAGATTTTGTTTGTGGGTTACATAAGGCCTGCAAGAAACAAAATATCTTATTGAAGATATATTTAATTCTAGTTAATCACTTTTTTTAAAAAAAATTATGGCTATTCTTGTAAAAAGAATGCGATAACAGTTCAGTGCCGGCTGGGGAAAACAGAATCTGAGGCTTAAGTTACTCAGCCAAAGAATGGCTAAAAGAACCATCTAAATTCCTTTTTTTTAAAAAACAAAATTTTTAATGAATATATAGTAAAGGTGTTTACTTTGGGGGGGGTGCGTGGGGAAATTGCAATGTTTTTATTCTCTCAGAAGGGCTAAGAGAAGTTCAGACTCACCCGGCCTTCCCTGAGCAGGGCGTGTCTACACTCCCTGACTTTGATGGATCTTTCAGATTTAGTTCTCTGATTCTCCCCCCCTTCTCTCCCTGACTCTTCCTCTATCTACTCCCTGTTCCATTTTCTTTATTCACACCAAAGTTGTCCACCCCTTCTTCCTACCCCCCTTCTACTGACTTCGCAAATGGCCCAGCCCGCTGCTGCTGGGACCTGAGGTACCCCTACTATGGCTTGGGGTGGCCCTTTACAGCCCCAAACGCCCTCTACCAAGGCTTTTCCTGTCCACGCTCAGCAAAGCCTTTCTGCCTCCGCCTGACAGTTTGAAGCTTCGCGGGACCCCCTGGCAGGCAGTCCTTGGCAGGAAACTTTATCCTTGTTGCTCCAGGAAGAT